CACTTCATATTTTTTCTTAAAACCGACCTAACCGTAGTTTCGTAAGACAGAAACTTCAAGTTAAACCCAAAGACACTGAATTACCGCCGGCTTTATAATGCCCGTATGCTAAAGTTTTAATGCCGTCTAATAATACATAACGCTTCGTGTCCAACGGCGAAAGACTTAATTTATTTTGCGAAACCGTGAATAATATATGTTTATCCGATCTAAATAGCTGTTGTTTGTTAAAGTGCTGCATTTTTTCAAATACGGTGTTCCTATACTCCTCGAGCGACAGTCGTTTTTGAGTTACGACTTTTGTAACTCCTTTCGCCTTTTTCAAACTTTGTCGATTGGTTAAAATCCAGTACATTTTTGGCCTAATGCAGATTGCTTCCGATATCACTTGACCTCCAAATTCGTCCTTCATCTTGCCGATGGCCTTTTTATTTTTTGGGTCGTATAGTTTATGATCCTGTGGATAATTGCTAAAGTCAAATAATTCCGCCTTTTGCACAGGTACTTAGTTAAATCGCCCGTTTGAGTTTGAACGAATGAATTATCCGTGCCCTCTATAAAAGACAGACATTTGAACCGAAATCCGCTTTTAACGTATTATAATAGAAATCGTACAATAAAGTTTGGACAAATCTAATACTTACAGGGCAGTAGATGGGCTTATTCAAATTTGTTTTTATGCGATACATTTCGAAAAACGAAAGATCGCACTCTTAAAACGGCGTAGTCGCTTTATAATTTGGTTGAAAGGTTAATTTCTTGTACCTTTCAGCGTCGTGTACGTCCCTCAGCAAGTGCCCGTCCATGCGAAATCAAACATTTTCAATGGTTTTACCAAATACCAAGTTATTCATCAACTTGAAAAAGTCCTTTTCGAAATCGGACTTAGCCAATTTACGTAACTCGGTGTCTTTGGCGATGTAACTCTTCTTCCACGCCGCCTGTTTAAACGATATTGCGCGATGAACTTGTTTTATTTCTAAACCGAGTTCCAGATATTTTTGTAAAGTGCGATAGTGCACTACATATTTGTTTTTGGTTTTTAAAATTGATACGAGTTTATCTATCGAAGTGACACTTTCTCCGTTTGTTATTAAATCTTTTTGGTACTCTGAGAACCACTCATTCGGAATCGATAAATTTTCTGGCGCCAGTTGGAAATCGTTGTGTAAATCGTGCAAGTGCTGCGGGTAGACTAAGGTCACTTCGAATCTATATCCTTTGGACGCTTTGGGAGAAATTTTCGAAATGTATTCAGGAGTAAATTTGCTTACGTCTTGAACCCATCGAAAATTTTTAATGGTAAATGCTGACTCGTGAAGCCGTTTAAATTATTCGCGTCTAGATACATGACGTGTGAAATCGTTTTTTGGGGTTATAATCTTTTATTTCGTAGTTAATCGCTTTGGCATAACGCTTTGCCCCTACGCTAGAAATGTCGCCGCGAAAAATAGGTGTTTTTATCGATATCTATATACCTATAAATCGTGGTAGTCTCCTAGATTTCGGCAGTTAAAAGTTTTCCATACATTTTGGGCTCTTGTATATTCTCCGAAATAGACTCCTGCCTCAACGAGCAGTAAAAAGCAGCTCCAAGAGGCAGGCTTTTTTTTTCAAGTTTGTCAAACGAGTCTATGTATTCGTATGGGTAAATTCCCTTTTCTAAAAGGACATCCGTGTTTTCTGGGAATGTGTCGCGGAGCAAATTAAAAACTTCGGCAGAACAATTTTTAACCAATCGATCTAAAGAGGCCGCCATGAAATGAAACGAGTCTAGAAATCTAAGTTGGTCAAAGCTAAACGAGAAATAATTTTCGGCGATGACGTTAATTTTACTGCCGTCAAACGCTTGAGCGCCTTGCATAATTAAACGCGCGTCGTATTTCTCCAAGTTGTGCAAAATCACTGGTACGACCGTTTGACCGGGTACGACTCGTAACTTGGCATTACACTGAGCGTGCGCTGGGCCTCGGTACTTGCCAGTCAATGATCGCGAACTTTGCCAAATTTATTAAAGGGCTTTTCGCACTCCATACAAATACAATCTCTAAAGCCTCATTCGTTGACTGAACTAAAGGCGGCTTTTTCGTTATTTGTTTTCGGCTCATCCGGGACTTGACACCGGCACTGGGATTCTTCAGTTGAACGGATGCGTCTTTCGCAAATCCAATATGTATTACACGCGCCGTCGCATCTCACAACCGCATTAAGAATAGCCGCGCGGCTTATGAACGTGCGTTTTAACCGTGTTTAATTCTTTCGGCGGCACGCGCTCTAAAGTGGATTTGAAGTCTGCGCAGATGATGAAAGGAGCATCTCACTTGTTTTTATAGTTTTTTTAAATTTGAGAATGTTTTTGCCACTTCGGGAAGTACCAATTTGCACGCTGCCGTGTCCATTTCTTGGCAGTCTTCCTTGTGCATGTCTAGTCTTTCTTGCGTTTGAAAGTGAGACAGGCATTTGAAACACCAATAAGATTTACCATCGTGTTTATTGACGTCACCCATCAACCGTGAGTAAATCTTGATCCAGCAATAATGACTCCTTTTGCCTTTAGTGAAATACAGTAAATTGATGGGCTCTTCTTCGCGTTTAGTTTTATAAAGTGCGTAAATGCCTTCTTTCTCCGAGTAGCCAAATACATTGATGGCTAAATTATTTTGTGATTCGATTCGTGGAATTTGGTAAAATGGTAAAATGTTTGGCAGCACACAGCCCTAACAGTGAGGTAACATGGAGCCGTTTTGCCTTATAGGTGCTGTATGATGCAATTTGGCCCTTTATTTTACCCCACCCTCCCTTTTTTCTTTTCTACATATTTATCTTTTTTAAAAAGGGGGAGGAGGTGTGCGCCCCCAACGCCCCCCCAACCCGGATCTGCCTCTGTATAGGGTACTGGTACCAATAAATCAGTAGAGTTTGAAACCACATAACCTTAACATACAGTTCTGCTCAAAATTATTCATACCATTTGGAAAAGAACATACTTTTTAGAATTCTTCATTTGTAAAAGTTATTAAGTTGGTACTTCCACTATATCTTTTGTCTATTTGTTGCAAAATACATACCCACATGTGTGCTGGCTAAACTTCATTTGCATAATAATCGATAAGGCCCGGGTTTCTTTTTTACTCTGTCAAATTTATTCATATCCAAGACAAAATCACAAGAAAAAAATCCTTTCATTCATACTGCTTATTTTCACTTTCTACGACTGCAAGAATCTTTGGCATGAAGCTATTTCAAGATGCCATCTCCCCAAAGAATATAAAAAGAAGAAAAGTTTTCGGATCATTCTCAGTTACTTGCCACCATAGCCAAGAAGAAGGAACTCAGTGAGGATATACGCCAGCTTATTATGAATGCCATAAAGAAGGCAAAGGCTACAAGGCAATTTCCAAGTAATGCAAGGTCCCTGTTGCAACAGTTGAGAGTATCATCAGGAAGTACAAGAGATTCAACACAGTGAAAAACCTCAATGGACGTGGCAGGTACTAATTCGGTCGCGTGTGAAACGATGTTTTCAAAATGCTCCCATTTCAACATGAATCACTCTCCTGGACTGAAATTTTGATGGAATGTCCCTTATATGAAACACTTCAATTTGTGATAGATTCTAACGCATTAAAAATTTCTCCTTTTTGAGCGGTTTCCAATTATCAGTTTCATGAAATCCTTGTGGAGACCTATACACCTTTAGAAATTCCTTGTGGAGACCTATTCAACCCATTCTCGTAAGTCTCCGCAAGGCACCATACATTGAAATTGCCAAACAAAGCCACGTCTCCACAAGGATATAAATTTCGGAATGGAGGAAGTGCAACATATTCTCCTAGACTCGCCAGAAAAATCTGCAAGGAGGCCAACAACCCACGGATTACAACCAAGGCCCTAATTGATACTACTGACAAGGCAGGGACGAAGGTGTCACAGGCAACCATCCAGTGAGTATTGCAAAAGGAGGCCTCTACGGACGCAGGCCAAGGAAGACACCACTACTCAGGAAGAAACATGAGGAGACGTCTGGCATTTGCTAGAGCACATCTGAAGAAAGATCCTGCCTTCTGGTCATTAGTCCTGTGGTCTGATGAGACAAAGATGGGGTTGTTTGGCCACATGGGTATTGCCTACGTCTGGAGGAAGCAAGGAAAAGCATACAAGCCAGACACAGTCTCAACCGCCAAGCACGGTAGTGGCTGTATAATGCTATGGGGTTGCTTCTCTGCTAGTGGCACCCAGAACCTCATAAAGATACAGGGCATCATGAAAAAAGAGGATTATATCATGCTCCTTGATAACAACGTGGAAGCGTCTGCTGAGAAATTCCAGCTTGGACCCGATTGGATGTACCAGCAGAACAATAACCCCAGGCACACCACCAAGGTACGGTGGTAAAGCAGTGGTTCAAGGACAATGGTGTCCATGTACTGGAATGGCCAAGTCAAAGTCCCGACTCTTTCCACACACACACAATCAAGTGATATTTGCCTCCAACTGGGGACCCCCTGTTTTTCCTCTTTTGTTTGTACTTAAACTTTTTTAGAGAAGACCACCCATATGTTTTGTACACAGTTATCGATCGGGGACCTTCTGTGAATCGGGGACCTTATTGTCCTCTATTGTTCAGGGTTCCCAATTGAGTGCAAAAACACTCAACACATACACCCCTCTCCGACAACTGGTTATGAATGCACAGACGGTACTCTAAAGAGTGTGGTTTTCTTTCGATATAACTAGGTTTTGATTGTTTGCTTTGTTTGGTTTTGATGACTGCTAGGGAAGGTAACGTGCAAAGCTAGCAAATAATAAAAGGCAGTAGGAACTGTTTCATTTAAAGATGATCAGTTTGAACAAAGGTACACCTCTAACAGAACTCATAAAAAGCTGTAAAAAAACATGTGTTGGGGTTATCCACTGTCTAATGGGTACACATGAGAAGTAATACTAGTTCCCCTTACAAAAAACCAAAAAAAACAAACAAACAAACAAAACCAACCCCAAAAAGAATCAATCTAAGAAAGGCTTTTACTTCATCAATCAACTCTCAAACCTTTATCAACTGGGAAAAAATGGAAAGACATTTATTTGTTGCTATAAGCACAACTAAAGACATGATGTTACCCAAACAAACTAGTCACACTTGCTGTTTTAACCAGAATAATTACAAAAGGACATTGATTCCATGAAATTCTTCATATGCCTAATCAACACAACATTGCTAACTACGTACATGTATCAAGAAGAAATCTAAAAATTCATGAAGTTAAAAACAAGATTTAAAAAAGGAAGGGATTGGAGGTAAGGAAACACCTGTATGACTAAAAAGTTTAAAAACTACAGCTATAAACAATGTTAACCTTTTTTCCAGTGCTAATATTGCTCTATCAGGTGTTTTGAGAGACTTTGGTTAAACAAACAATATAATAATGTGATATGTCTCTCATGGGCCAATAATACTATAACATAAACAGCAAACAAGAAAAAGGGTTGCCAGGTTTTTCTTTGAAATTTGATGTTCAATTTGAACATGTTTGTTAAGTACGTGACACACTATCAATGAACAAACGTGACACAAAATTCTTCAGTCTGATCTAACTTCCTCCAACTTTGGTGATCAAGATAGCAAAATACAGTCCAACTGAAATGCCTCCACTGACAAATGGGGAGGGTTAATGGGACTACCCCCCGGGTTTCTTTGTTTTCAATTTGCCTTTCAAATCTAATGAAATGGAAAAAGAATGTAAAAGCCCACCCAACACAACCCTCAGAATGACAAATGAAATCTTCACTTTTTCTGCTCCTCTAAAAACTGCTGTGTTTTCCCTTCAATGCCTGTAGATGAATCTGCTTATAAAATCAAATAAATTTGTAGGGCTTTCTAAAAGATAGTTTATATATGCTGTTTGCCCCTGATATTTTTATCAGGATTTTGCAGTTTAAGAAATGTTCAAGACACACAGCACTGAGAGAGGGAAGTACAGTCATCCAGAGAGAAGTCAGCTTGGACGAGGACTTGTTAAATTTATTTGTGTACAATTGTGTAAAACCATAAAGGTTACCGTCCCCCGAATTTCAGTAAGATTCTTTTCCATAAAGTCTGAGATAATGCTAAAACCAATAAACATTCTGCCTCTGTGAAAGATCACAAAAATGACTGAAAACCTACAACATGACGAAAATGAAATACAAGCATGAAATTCAGAGATGGAAAACAGCAAAAAACAAAAACCCAAAAACCTATCCGCTTACTGACAACACAAAAGTGCATAACTTTGTATCAAATTACCATACATTTACTGGTGTGTAATTCAAATCACACATCAAGTATAGCATTTTATGCCAGAATGTTTGCATTTGTAAGATCATTTCAATATCACTGGTCTTATTTTCACATCCAAGGAACTCGGTTGCTTTAATAGAGGATGCAAGTGGTATATTGTGAAGGTCTGTGAAGGATGCTCCGAATACCCATAAACCCTCATGTCCTCTACATGTGCACGCATTTGCCGTTAATTTATGACACTTCAGAGTGAAGAGCACTTCAAGGGGTGGATGTCCTGTCACCTATCCGACATGTAGGTATTTCTACAACTCTTCAGGCACAGCTATATTTTCTGAACAAAAGCAGCAAAATTCCAGACCCAAACAAAAAAGGGTAAATACAAGAAAACAATTTTTAAACAGATATTAATGTTCAATGAAAAAGTTACTCAAAGAATTACTGTTTACTATATAAGCTGGGTAAAGGGAGAGAGAGCAGATGCAACTACCTGTGTTATCACCGTGTGTAAAACCCAGGGCTCAACTTCACAGCGCTGCTTAAACCATAAGCAAACTTTTCTGCTTAATATAGCACAGAAATTGTACTTGAGCATAAATGTATTTCACCAGTGTTTTCTAAGCTAAGCAAAAAAAAGCTGCATGTGACTCTTTTAATATCGTCCACTTAAGCAAAATGTGGCATTGTGAAAGGTAAAGAAAAGGCAGATAAAAGCAAAGAGGCCACAGGAAAAACTATACCATTCACAACGAAAACAAATCTTGCTCTTGTGACAAGCTAAATTGAAGAATAAGCTATCACTGAAGAGCACTAAGAAGAGGGAAGCTGATGAACAAACACAAGCTGGTGGAAAAAGTCAATACATGAGTATATTAACTAATGATGGCACATTTTTTGTACAAGATGGGTTTTTTGTTTGTTTACAATGTGCCTGCCATGCTGTTGGGGGCTGTAACAACTGTGCCCAAAGTCCCTGATGACAAGTGACACAACCCAAGGTAGACTTGAAGCAGGGGTGGTGGGGTGTGATCACTCTCAGTTGGGTGTTCTAACTTACCTGATAGCATGTCTCGTAATCATGGATGGGGAAATCTGTATCATGCCCAAATTTGAATTTGAAGTGTGGATAGCTTGAGTGTTCCACTCAATTAATAACGACCACAAAAATGTGGTCGTTATTAATTGAGTGGAACATGTCAATTGTGAAACACCATCTTTGTCTTTGAATTGCATAAATTCTTCATTAACGGTACCACGAGCATGATGTTTGGAAGTAATATGGCCATTTTGATTGAAAGTCTTACTTAAACACAAAAATGTGGTCGTTATTAATTTTTGCTAGCTTACTGCTTTAAGCAAAAATGTGAAGGGCGACTGTTCGGCACAAAAATCGGCTGTATTAAGTGGCGCTATGAAATTAGGCTCTGCATTGTACAGGCCGAGTTGTTGGAAACTTTTATAGATATACCTCCTTTAAAATGTGGCATTTCAGAAAAATGCTGGCACTATTTCATTGAAAGCTGATGCTCTGACTATGGATACACATCCATGCCTGTAATCATGTAGAAAATGCAACCCAATGTGTCATTTTAGCCTGTATGAAAGACACTTGGAAGTATTTATTGCCAAATGTAATTCTTGGTTTTAACCACATACTTTTTCAAAACTAGAGCACACAAATACAGGGTATACTTAACACGGATATGTTATTATCATATAAAATGTGAATATGGGAATAGAAATTATAAAAAATTACACTATTGTATAAATTTGCCCAATCCTTGCATTCTTCAGGGTCAATATCATATATAAAAGGATTATATAAAGATAAAGGCTTGAAAAAGGCTTGGCTTGAGCCTACAATTTCCCTCCCTTTAACCATTGCAGTTTTACTTTTGTTTTTAATCACAGTGCTTCATCTGACTTCATGTGAAAAAAGAAATGGTTCAAACAACTATTTAATGTATCACAGATATCATGTGTAAGTACCAACATATTCAGCCAACTGGGAAACCATGAAGGGGCCCCAGCATCACACATCAATTCATCAAGTTATAAACAGAACATCAAGTTATAAACAGACTTATTCAAAATAAACTGTAGACATATTAATTTAGGAATCATCTTTTGAACCAAATGTAGAGCAATTCCATTTAATTGAAATTGAACACAATAGGCCTTACACATCATGTACATCCCATGTGTAAAACAAAATCCAAGGCTCTCTGCATGTGAAATAATTGTTCGTTGTGTCGGTTGTGGAGAAAAAAAGTTGATTGCACCAGGAACTGACCTAACTTTATTTGTACACACCACAAACCTTGTGCACAAAGTCTAAACATAATATGCCACTTGGGGCGTATAATTTTCAAGACTGGTCAGTATTGTAGCCGAGACCATGACAAGATCAGACACAAGACCATGCACAAGACCATGCACAAGACCATGCACACAACAAGTCACAGGTAACTGGGTGAACAATGACAAAGGAATGCTTTGTTGCAATTCATTTGAATAGCTTGCGACCTGAATTCAGACTGGAGGTCTTGTGTTGGTCTTGTGAAGGTTTTAAGTGGTCTTGAGTACAATACTGATTGACCACTCCATGAATAAATTCTGTATCAACCATCCTGTATGGAAGAACTGCATATGACCAAATACATGTGTGTCATGTAGAAAACTGCCAAAGACCAATAGTATGCCCTCAGAGTCGCATTTTATTATACCACTGAGGACATGGCCTTGTATTTTCAATAACACTAACACTTTTCCATAGACTGAGCATGGGCACTTACCTTAGAGGACAGAATCGAAAAAAGGAGCGACCAAAATCCTTTCCCTTTGTATTTCTGTCCCCTATGGCAGAGTAACACATGTACACACTGGTTAATATGAATACGGCATGAAGTATGCCCTATGACTTATTATTTGAATGACTATAAACCCAGATATTTTTCAAATATGCACAGCCCTCAGGATGCTAATGGGGCACAGGGGATGGCCCAGCCTCTCTCTCTATCACTGTTAAGGGCATACTTGTACGTATGTCCCATCATCTTATACATTTGAAGACAATCACATTGTTCAGTGTATATTTCACGAGGTATATGTGTGGCCTTATTAATAATCTAAATAATCCTTCCTGCTTACACATATAATAAAACTTCCTAAGAAATTCACAGTAAGACACAATATCACAACAGTTGTGACAAGGTACATGTACATGTATTGAGGTTAAACACATCAAAATTGAATATACATGTACATGTATGATAAATCCTTCAGAAAAAGTTTGGGTTTTAATAAAAAAAGAAAACTTACAAATACACTAAAGCTGTCACTCGGCCAAACGAAAATACATCACTTGTAACCTTGCATGTGAGGTGGGTGTGACAGGAAGGCAGGATCATAGGGCATGGGTGCCCCAACTCCACCAACGGCCTGACTGCCTAGAAACTGACTGCCAATACCATGCTGTCAATAAAAAAACACAATACCTCACACTTAACTGTAAAGACTACTGTGATGATGTCATTCACATAGACATGAAGATAGGTTATGCATTTATGCATTGCAGAGGAACCACATACCTAACTGAGGCTAAATACCGGTTCCCTGGTATCAAGTCAAAAAAGCAAATCCTAAAATTTACAAAAAAGAAGAAAAAACTAAATCTGAACTGAACAAGCAAAACAGGCATCCTAAACTTTCCGAGCAAAACCTCTTTAAATCTTTCTGTTTCTTTGTCTGGAAAGTTATTAAGTAATTTGTTAAGTATTTATTCCATAAATTGGAACCAGTTTATGACAACAATGGTCAGGTACTTGGTTGCAATATACAGCCTTAGACACAACTGCATCATTTGGCTAGCTTGACCACAGCAGAGCTCGAGAGAGGGAAAACTTGTATAAAGCACCAACAACGGACCAGCTGCACACATGCAATTCATACAGGTATAGATTGTAAGTTAAGTTATAATAAACTAAATGAATAATACAGAAAACTCCGGCTAAGTTGGCACTCTCAGGACTCAAGAAATTATGACAACTTGAGAGAATGTCAACTTGAGCTGTAAGTCGTCATTTTGCTGACATACACGTACAAACGTACTGCCTATGTACATTATGATTCCTTGCACTAATTCAAATGCTTTGATTTACCCTGGTTTACTTCTACCTCATGGTTGATCCCAGCAAATTTGTTCTCGATTACTATCCTCACGGGCTGCAAATTCGATAATTGATCATGTTCCCTCGACAGTGCAGTATGTACATGTACGTGATGCAATTATGGTACAGGAAACATAGGCCATGTCCGAAATGGGCTTCCAGAGCTATGTCTAGGTCTATTATCTATGCATCTCCATGCATTTCCAATGGAGCGAAGACCTAGACCTACATGTAGCTCTAGACAAGAGATTTGGATGCAGCCATACACTCATCCGCACATGCAGTGGTTAAGTTCATTCAATAAGGCGACCCCCCCCCCGATGGACAGAGCGCATGCATGTAGCCTTAGAGGGGCAACTGGTATTGATGTATTACTGCTGGCCAATCATAAACCACAGCCAGTGCTGCTAATACACAGACATCAGTCAAACAGTATGGGACGTGTCACTCAAAACTTCTTGGCAACAGTGACAAAGGAAACTGATCCTGAAGCAGTTTTTTTGTTAATGCTGACTTACACAAAGGAATTTTTGTAGCTTTGTGGAAAAGGGACCGAGAAAATTCATGCCGAAATGACGACCAATAAATGCTGACTTGGAAATGAAATTGTCAATGGAAATGCATTACAGGTGATCGGGACTTTTGTCAAAAAGCCAACTTAGACGATATGACGAGTTACGCGATGCCGACTTAGTTGGAGTTAACTGTATGTGAGTACTTAAAACATGTACTGGATTACTACTAGATCTATTGTCATAGTTCCTCCATCTTACTAGCTCCCTGACTTCTGATTCCTTTGTTACTGACTGGATCCCAACTCAGATATCAATTGTCAACTCTACATTTGTCAACACACCTGAATAAGGGGCAATTGACATCTAAAAACATATAACTGTTAAATTTAGGGAGGGGACCTATTAAAAAATACCTGTGAATAGTAGGCCATATCTGGATGTGTGTGTGAAGCCTGTGGCCGATATGCTGTAAACCTTGTACCCACACCAGCTCTTTGATGCAAGTGCTGTTGATACTGTTGTCTGGCCAACTGTTCAGCTTCTTGTTGACCCATATACTGTGGAAACAGGGTAGGATTTGGTCTTTGCATCCTAAAAGCTGAGTGGCTAGAGTACGGATCAAGTGGTGTGAAAGCGGAACTTGGCCGGTCCTCTGATTTTTGTCTACCTTGCAGCAGATGACTTAAATGTGAGCCTGCTGAATATCCATGAGTGACTGCAGAAGCTTGGCTTGCATGCAACCGTAGGTGGTCACTATACAGTGCTTGATTATACACATTCCCAGATCCTGCATATCTCTGCATATCAAAATGATCTTTGTATTCATTCGTGCTTCTGGATTCACTTGTCAGCATAGAAAGAAAACTGTCCGATTTTCTGACAGGGAGCATTGTATCAATGCCTCTTGCAGTATCTGTGTGACTCATCTGCAATTGAGTCATGCTACCCTTTCCAGGTTCTACCCGACTAGCTACATTTGACTGGTTCACAGAAGACTGTGGGTAATGCAATATACCTGAAGATGATGGTTTCGGTTGAACAGTCTTCTCTGGTTGTTTTGTTACTGACTGATTGGAGTTGGTGGCAACAGATTCAGCTCTCTGATTATGCAGTTGGACACTTCCTTGGTAAGATGAGCTACACACAGGGGGCACACATGTGTATGTTTTCGATCCCATTTCTCTTTGAGCTGGCAAGTTGTCAAGAACAAGTTGTCTTGACCTATGGGCCTCAGAAATATTCCCAACTGAAGAATTAGGTTGCCTATGAAGTAAAGACTCAAGTATATTGCTACTTTGTGAATTGTTTTGTGGTGTTCGTATGACACCTGTTTGTGGTAATTTCATACGACCTAGATAACCTTGATTCTGGTTTGCCATTGTGTTAACACTGGAAGTTGATTTATCAGTCTTGTTATAGACAGATACAGTTTTATCTTCCAAACCCAATGGATGCCATAATTTCTGTGTTGATTCACAACTACTGCTTCTTGCATTCAGTGAGTGTTCCTCCTTCCAGTGTGGTACTTCCAAGGCATTAGATGAAGGCAACAAAGGCTGAACAGCTGGAACATGCTGAACCACACTTTCCTGGACTGGTGGCACAGTTAATGGTGCGGGAAGTTCAGCTTCATCTTTGGATGCATGTTGTGTATACTGAGGATTACTCTTGGTCCCTGAGTGTGTAGATTTCTTGGAATGCTGAAAACCTTGACTCAGGCTGGAGGGTACATACAAATTTTCTTGAGGTAAATCTTGACTTAAGCCAAAGGTATTTTCCTTTTGGCAAGGTACATGAAAGTCCTTTTCACTTGAGGAGGATGTCTCAGGATTCAGAACATTGGGACGTCTGGAATTTAAATCAATCATTGCCGGTGGGCCCTGAGATGCTTGCTGTGTTGCTTCATGCTGATCACATGGTACTGATTGACTTGTACTACATGTTCCTCTGTCTTCAGAATGGCAGTCAGGTACATACGGACGTACATTTTGAATAGGTTTTACACGGTTCACCTTTGAAGCACGGGAGCCTTGTAAAGGAGTAAATGACATTTGGCCTGAGTGCTCTTTACAACTCATTTCATTTGGATAATTATCTTTACATTGCTCTGAGTCTTGTTCTTTATCACTGCAGGATTGCATATAGTCTTGCCCTTGTACATCCTTATTGGAAGTATGCAGAGACAGCTCTCTTAATCCTGAAGATGGTGCAAATGCAATAACACCTCTTGATGTGACAGCATTGCCATCATTTTGGTCACCTTTTCTGGAGGAAGTACTGGTAGATGTTTCATATATTTCATCCAACGTTTGCGCTTTTGTTTGATCTTCATGCTGTGAGTAGTCTACGGTAGATGATTCAGACAAGTATGCATTAAGTGTGTTATCTTGCTTGATATGACTACTAGTACTTGTCACAGGGTCATTTTTGGTACAGGGGAAGACCTTCAAGTCATTTGATTTGTCTTTATCTACGGGATCACTTTTCAAAATTTCAAGCTGAGCAGATCGATCTTCGTAATCACTGTCGGTGTTTTCATACTTGATTTCCTCCAAAACCATATCCTCATCATCATCACTGGCACCACATGGACTATCCTGACTTTCAAAAATGCTTGATTCACTACTGCTGAGACCCCTTAGCCTAGCATACACCTTATCTTCTAGCTTTTCCAGTCTTGTATTAGCATTTTTTGCTGACTGACGCTGTGGGGGTCGCTGATAAGCATATTGGTCCACATGATGGGTGCTATCTTTTTCAATCTTGTCAGCTTTCTCCTCTGGAAATATCTTTTCCATATTGTACTCCAAGCAAGATTTTAGATTCTCAGCCATCAAGGTGTATTCTGTTTTAAGTAAAAGAGAAACAAACCACAACAAGGTGACTCAAAACGTTTTGTCAAAAAACCTTCATGTACCAAAGGTTGTGTTTTCATAAATTCAAGCTCTCATAAATTCTAAAGGTTTCCAGTCAAGTACTTTTATATCCTATTTCTTTCTTTACATGTAATTACAATTTTTGAAATAGAATAACTTAGAACATGGTATCTCTATCATACCAAAAACAAATTCAAATAAATGCAGAAAATGAACTATTTAGCTAGGGACCTTTAATCTGAGAAGCTCATGATGAGAGTGAAGTCAGTCAAAGTGGTCAGAATACATTCTGTTTCTGCATTCTTAAAAAAAACATGTATCAGCATTTTGCTTTATACGGCAATTGCTACACATTAATTCTGTTGAGTAGGGAAGCCTCCTCCTTTAGTCACAGATTGTCATAGTCAGTCACTGGTATCACAATCAAGTGTACATATGTACAAGTATCTTATGTTAACCGGTTTTCTTTCTTAAAAAAGCTGGTAGGGGAACTTTTTCCCTGTAACTTCTTCAACCTTACAATTTATTTCTGGCACCCGTGAAATATGAAGGGAGGCAAAACTCTTGAATTTAGGTATCAGTACATGTACAAGTGTTTTCATTCTTTTCCAATGGAGTTATTTTGTTTCAGCTGTTTTTCAAGTACCTTGATAAAAATTGAAGTGCATGTTCTAGCGTCAACCACGTCAAATGGTCCACAGCATATGTAGGCATCACCCATGGTGATGTGTTTTTTGCTAATTGTTTGGATACACAGGAGTTGCTAGTTTGGATTTTTGTAACCTAATTTATTTTGTAAGTGTGGTTTTGTAACCCTAGGAAATCTGTTTAACCAAACAAAAAGGGGTCTTTAACTCCCTGAGCTCTTTTGTGTATGGTATGAGCTCCTCATTTCAATTCTAATTACTCAAGAAAGGCATTTCTGGAGCCACTTGGTAGCAGCATCTGCATGTAAGATCGTCTCCTGCATCATAACCCAACCAAGCAAGATGCGTTAATACGTCAACCATGGAAATGAAAAAAAAAGAATTCTTAAAGGAATTTAAACATCCTCCCTGGAAAAATAAGGAAAATTATGTGTTTCTACATCGTCACGTCATACACATGCCGAGAAGTTAAAGACGTTTCAAGAACAGGTTGCAATGGAGTCAGCATCAGTGTCAAGTGTCTACGTTTGAAGTAGTTTTAACAAGGACTGTCAGCAGAATTTAGGAAGTGCATCACGTATTGCCAGCACAAATCTGGTAGACTGGCTGGGATAGTTTTGTTTCCATACAATAAACATCATCTCCATGATAACTGTGAACTCACCGATTATATTACTTCATAAATCTCAGGGTTTATGATAAAATTTGAGGTTTCTGTGGTAATTTGGGTGTTTCCATATGATTCTAAGAATTTGAGAAACAAGCTAGAATATTTGATCATTTTCTTTCATGTTAAGGATTCTCACAACTGTACTGCCAGTTTGAAACTTAAAGATGTGGGCATTGTGCTTGATACTAGTTATTACACACCGATTTAGGAATGTTTATAATCCCTTTGATAATATGGGTTTGATACCGAACAAGTTGTAAAACTTGAATTCACAATGAACATTTTGATATTGATCAGTAATTTTGTTCAGAATACTTAGGACTTGACATTCTTTCCAATTGACTGCAATTGATTATTGATAAATTCAAAATGACACCCTGATTTCAAGGGCATTAAAACTCAAAGGCATCCATAATCTTGATTAGCAATGGATATTCATATAAAAGCCTTTTTTATGAAAATTCAGTCAATTATGTGGGCACTGGAAAACATTGGCTTCTTTGCAATTATAACCTCATCAGTAAGATCAACATCATGGATCAAAATTTCTGGTGAAGAGATTCCTGAAGTGGGTTTGCATGATTACTACAAAGTCTGGCATGGTCTATCTGAAGTCTTTAAGTTAATAACATCTTGACGTTCCATCACAATAGTCTAGAGGTAGTAAATTACATGTATGAAGCTGGAGGTGGTTTCCAGCGATATCTTTTCCGATGTTTTTAATTAGCACTTACCATTACCAGGGCCATTGTACTCCAGGCAATTGGTGAACAGTTGGTTCATGTCTTGTTCAAACTATTGAAAGGGAAATGTGAACATAAATAAGCATAAAACACACACATACTTGTAACTGGCCAACAGGAATGTTTTCTAGAACCACGAACCCTTCATTTCACTGACATGTTTTTTTACTGAACTTCACTGCTTTTAGTCTACAAAAAAATGAAACCCCCATTGCTATAAAAAAGCAATCATCTAATTAAAACCTTCAGTCAAACACAATTAACATGGGCATACTTCAGATGGTATCATGCTTACAATCAATATATTTCTTACATGCATCTTTGATCCTGTTCTAAATTTATACATTCTTATGTGAGAAAACTTAACACAAGCTGTGTTTAAGATGACAACACAGATAAGAAAAGCATTTCCATCAATGCAGCAGCATCAAAAAGCACTGTTTAAAGCATCTTTACTCCGAGTACAATTTAAAAGCACTTGTTTATTCCATTCACCACACAAGGAACATTTCAGTAAATCATCAAGTACATGTACATGTAACACCAATTCACTTGTTGATCGGTAAGTACATGTACAATGTGTATCAAACATGTCGGGTGGCTGGTTTTACAAGACAGACAATGGGTGTCCTGCCCGTAAAGGGTGTTTAAATTACGGGGAATCTGACCTGACAAAGGGGTATTTACATGTACATGTATTTTGAACCAAACAATGAGTAAATGTGGTTTTGAAGACCAAATATTGTATCCAAGGTTGGATGCAAGATAACCGTTGCATAAAGGATCCCATCAGCCACACATGATGACATCTTCAGTCCTGCAACTGACTTGGGAGTTTTGGTACAATGGCAGCACGAGTGACTTTCACAGAAGATCACTGATTTCTTCTAGATACCAGACATCCACATTAAAGCAAACGGCTCTTTTCAGAGCTACCACATAAAAAAAACCAGCTGTACTGTAAGTACCACAGAAATAAACTGCATCTCCTGAAAATGTCGGTCATAGAAATAAAGGTTCCTTTCTTCAGTTACGGAATTCCTCAGTCCCTCAGTAACAGTAAAATGAAACAAAAAGCATGTCCCTTTGAGAATGTAATAACTATAATTATCATCCTGGTCCCATCATTTAAAAAAAATTCAGAAAGAACTTTTGGAAATACCCTCTCCCGTTCTTACAGGTATGAACTGGTTCCCAAGTAAAATGGACAACATACGTAGAGGGGCTTACTTGTATGTGCAAAGTGGGTACCAGCACAGTAAACATTCCAGTCTCCATGCATGCTTGTACCAGGCTAACCACCCCACACTATGGACCTACATGTACATGTACATGTACTGCAGTCAAGTGCAGTCAGGGGGGTTTACTTTGTTTCTGTGCTATATGGTTTTTATCTATTCTATCAACATCTTCATTTTATTTATTTGAAATTATGACTGATCAGCACAATTATCAAATTAGAAAATGAAGGTGAAGTCTAATACTAATACATATAAAATATATAAATATTTCTTCCTTTTACATACACTCTACATGTACAACAATGCACACTTGTGTATGACACAGAGTGCTCTGTAAACAAACGTCAACTTGTGTAATATGCGAAGCTGATAATATGAGGTTTTGATAGTCCCATTGAGTTTGTATCAACCGACTGTATATCTAGCACTGTAGACGGGAGAGACTAAGTTTAAAGTAAGACAGGTGTGCATGTCCATGTACACACGATAACTCTACATCTAACAAAAATCAAATGGCAAGATTGAAGTTGAAGCAGAAATGAAAACACATACCCTGTAGAACAGATCCCAACGGATTACTTATCCTAACCAGCTTCATTCCTTAAAAATCCTCTGGTCGGTTTTGGAGGATTAAGGCTGCATGGCAAAATTGCGTAGCTGATTGCGAAGGATGCACTGTCTTATGGGTTTGACCTTGTGTTGTTCATGTTCAGCCATGCATAAATTCTCGCCAACATTATATGTGAAATCTTCCATACTGCTCCAGGATGCCATTAATACTGCCTCAACATAATGAGGAATTGCTGGAGAATTCAGAAGGGTTGAGGCAGTGGGCACCCTTCAAAGAACACACATGTATTCAAGAAATATCGGAGGAGTTTGGGGAATTGAGGCTGTATCTGATTTTTTCATGGGGCAGTTGGAGGATTTTGAAGGTTGAAGGACACACCCTAGCCAAAAGTGCCTAGGCGGTTATGGTTAATGAAACAAACTGTGAGATAAAGCTACATGTATGAGTTACACAGTCAGGTTACAATATAGCACAGATCTTCTACATATCTTGAAATCAAACTTTAGGGCAATTTTTAAAGTTGGTGTCTTACCTTTACGGTATTATACACACTTTTCATCAAATGTTGTATAAGGCTTGAGGAAGAAAATCCACACACACACCCATGAGTGTGTGTTTGCCTGCAATTGGAGATCCCCTATTGTTCCTGTTTTGTTCATACTTGTTTAGAAGACCTCCTGTATGTTTTGTACACAATTGTCAATCAGGGACCCTCGGTGAATCTGGGACCTTATTGTACTCTTTGTTCAGGGTCCCCAATGGAATGCAAAAACAAACCCACACAAACCCACACATACCCAATGCCATCGCACCCTACATTATGTGGACTTCTTTTGTGCAGAGGCCACACCATGTATGCAACGCCTGCACACCATGCACACCCACACAAAACAATGAAAAAACAAACTAACTTTGAGGCATAAATGGGTGGTATCATTTACTTCAAGTTCAACAATCGAAACTACAGAGAGGGCACTTACTTCCTCTTTTGTCTTATAGTCCTTTTTCTTGATCTTCTTCTCTATGATGTTGAGACACATTGGTTTGATGATAATTTGGTAATATGCAGGTGCATATGCTTCATCTACAGGGTCCATGAAAGGCCAGGAATCTTCATGTTTGCTGACTGCGTCATACACTGCCAGAGTTAAACGAGGCATCCATGTTAAATAGTTTCAGACTACATGTGCATGTATAATAGGTAATATAGGTTAGGCGCAAAACATGTGCCTACAGTTAACCATAGGAGGCACTTGTGAGAACCAAAGTATAGAATTTATGTATAAAGTTGTTGAAGGACATGATTTATTTCAATGATAAATCAATTTGTCTTCAGGCAAACTTGAATTCTCAGTTCTGATTGGTCAATCCATAGCAACAATGTGATATATACCCATGTTAAAGGTAAAGCGCATATTATAGGCCCTTTACTTTCTTTACAGCGCATCAAGTTTGCTCGAAGATAAATTCGTTATCACACTAGCACTTGTGGATCAAGGAATAATGTAGTGGGTCTGTGTCCTGTACACCACTTGGCCTTCGGCCTCATGGCATACGGGACACAGATGCACTACATTATTCCGTGTTCCACTTGTGCTTGTGTGATAATGAAATCAATATCACATAGTTAAAACCTTAAAAAACCTTATCTTTCTTGACAGCTGTGAAAAATGAATGTATATTTCCACCTAACAGAATGGATTCAGACATTGAATTTGTCAGGCACAGTATAACGCCGAACTATTAATATGTACATTTAAAAATACCCTGCCATTGTGTTGCAACATTATCTGAAATGATAGACTAGCATCTAATTTCATAACTAAGCATTATAATAATTATGGACTTGCAGCTCATGCACAGAACATGGGCAAAGAACTCCAGATTTTAAAATAACAGATCACTGTCCAGGCAACGTGCTGGCCATTAATTTAAAAAAGAAATGATTTTACCACAAAGCAAAATTTTTGTTGTTTACTGTGAACAGAGTTCATTTAACAAGGTTGGCTCCAATTTTTTTGCAATACACTTACCTTGCTGCAATCTTGCATAGATATTACCATTGAAGCTTTTGGTTTTCTTTGCTTGCTTAGAGCTGGTTCGTTTTTGGTGGCTGGTGATTTGTGATGTTCTCAATGATTTATCACCAGAATGCTCTAAAGGAATCAAAAGTAATTAAAAATTAAATAAAAAATCATTTCAGATTTATAACTACTATATAATCTACATGCATTCTAGCTATGCTTGTTGGTATCATTTTCTCCAAACAGATATATAATTAAATATTTGCAGTTTTTTATATCACCGTGATTTCATTTGTTTCATGTCTGCCACTTTCACATGTTCATCACAAGGTGTGTGCTGATCCCCAGAGTACTGCACTAACCTAAATTTGACTTTTCTCATCAGGTGAACCCAACTTGAATTCTATTACCAGTCTCTTTCCTTACTCATTGACTCAGTAGGAAACTAAACTGAACATTCTTAATGAGTAGAAACTGTACCTCATAACGGTAAATCATTTTGAACTTTGAAGATGAACATCTATCTCAGCCCCCCCCAAAAGAAAAATAAAACACAACAAAATAAAAAACTAACAAACAGCATCCATTTTCCATTGCTGATTGCTGAAAAAAGCACAGCCAAAATTTAGGTCCTTATGGAATGGACCCAACCGAGTCTAGTTCAGCTGCCACGTGTTCTCCTGCATGGACGCTTCACACGTGCTCCAAAAAAATTTATGCAATTGGATGTGTGAGATGAATGGGTGGTAGAAATAAGGGGTGGTGAGAGACAACAAGTAAAGGAATGTTGAGCAGCACACTGAACACAGCTGTCTATTGGACAATACAAGAGATGTGAAAATGAACCCAAAGTCCCTTGTTTGTCTGTTCGTGGGTATCAACAACAGCATTCTTGACATATATGTAGGCTGGGCTCGCTTGTATATGTACTGAAATTTGTGACTTAACACAAGGTTGGGACTCGGGAGGCAATGTGACTTCCAGTTTGCAGTAAAGGAGGACAAAGATACATGTGGCATCATTTTGTGGAATGTGCTGCTTGTCCTTTCAAACTGACATTGAAATAATAAGGAATCAGTCACTAATTTTATGCCTTCAGTCTTTTTTCTCTATTCATTATTTGCTTGGGAAAAATACATGAATAGACCTCTTGCAACTAGTACTCAGATTTTATGGTTCCATTAACATGGTAGGAAACCAATGAAAAGACATTAAGTGTGATCCCTCAGTAAAGTTGAATTCGACTATCGATGTACATGTACATAATAAATTAAATGTTGGAGACACAAAATATTGCTGTGAAAACAGATTGTTGTGGTGAGGGGGGATAAGTAGAGCACCAATACAAGTGTGATGTGGTAAGTGCAATAAAACATCAGTATCACTGGAATTAATGGAATGAAGTTATTCTGTTATATCCTTTGGAATTCATATCATCACTAATAGAAACCATGGGCAATGGATTGACTTGCATTGGTCGATCAGCTTTCCAATTCCACGTGGTGCAACGCTGTACCGAAGAAACAATTATCTTACCACATGCACTTGGCTACACCAAATGTTTAAAACAAATTTGATTATGACTGTGCCAAATGTAACTTTTTCTCCAAATTCCATGTTCAGTAGTGTCACTTTGAGTAGAGTTTTTTTTCTTTGTATTTTTGAAACTAATGTTCGGCAAACTGCCATCAGAGTTTTCGACTTTGATGAAAGCATTAGCTTTGTGACAAATATAACAATTCTGAACATTTAAACCTAAAAGAACACCATAATTAAGCTTTCACCAAGTGCGAAAAAGTTTGTCTTGTGCATAAAAACAGCATGTGTAAATGAGTAAACCGAATCCATCTGAGCAAAAAATGCATTTCAGCTATGTACAAACAATAAATAAATGACCTTTTCAGCGTGCTATCTTTATCATCTCTTTAGATACCTTTATTCATGTTAATGTTTTAGCAAAGATTATGTGTACAGGAAAGTGTTTCACTCTTGGTGTCTTTTCCTCATGTGTGAAGCTAAAACAGTCTTAAGATTGTCACGGGAATTACTTTTGTAGAGGTATTATGGAAATTGTAATGGCCGTTTGGTTTTTGCCGAGAAAACTGATTGGTTTACTTAATTTAAATTTATGCAAGTATTTATCAATGTATGGACTGCACACATGAACTTTCAACAAGTACTGAAACTCAATTGAACTGAATTTGTTTAAACAGACAGGATAACGAACTACCATCTTGATTTCGATGTTGTAGTTTGTTACGTAGTTTCATCTTCTCTCTCTTCTCCTCTTCAATCTGCTGTCTTCTACTAGACAGCTCTGCCTCTTCAATGGCTTTCAACCGTTCCTGTCAGAATTGTTGAAAAGTAAGCAGGCTGTTACAGAACAAAGGGTCAAACAGAATAAGACAGGCAAAAGTAAAAATTGAAATTACCCTCCAAATGATGCACAAAATTGAAAAAAAAACACACACATCTAATTAGTCTACAAAAGGTTTTGCCAGAAAAAGTGTTTCGTTCAGAAATGTTAAAATAAAAAGTACACACTTTTGCAAAAAAATCATGTGACCACATCAGAATGGCATCACAACTATTTTTTTTACATATAACACATCTCAGATTGTGTTTGTTCCAAGTTTCAGTCCAGTGGGGCATACTTGTATGGTTATGGAGATGTGTAGGACTTTTGAAGGCATGTCATGTAACAAATGATGACATCAGTGATGATGTCATTGTTGACCCATCTATGTCTTAACTTTGTTCTAAAGAAGAAGGTGATGAGTTGAATATTGTATTCGTCATAAGAAAAACAATGAGCTATTTCTACAATTTTTTATTTTGCAATGTTCAAAGGTACGGAGGTTTTAGCAACGATATCTTTGTGTCTTGTAAACTGAATACCCATATGAGGTGATATCCGTACCTCTAAATTCAGTGTGGGGACATTTATATCACACTGGAGTGTCGCTTTAACAAACACAGGGGTCCTCACAAAATATTTCTTATAATGGTTGTTCCGTATAGTTTAATGAATGAAAAAACTAAACAATATCTTCATTATAGCATCACTTCATATTTGTCATGAGGAAGAAATATTTCATCATCCCACTTAGTTCCAAGTAATCAGATGGAGCCTTTGTATATTTGTAAGTAAGAACATTTTGATGTCATCATGAAGTCACAAAATTTTCAAAAGAGCTTACACATCTACCTTGGCAACCAAAGGTGTTTCAAAGAGAAGTACATGAATTTAAAAAAAAAAATCTGATACACCATTATGAAGTCATGTCCCTTTTTATGTAAAAAGCCTAAATGGTTTGGAGTCAGGATATCAGGGTTGAAAAAACGCCCAAGGTGGTGTGGAGACAGAACATGTTATACTGCAAATTAACAAAACAATGGCTGTTTTGGCTGAAACAGAACAAAAACAATGCCTTTTCTGTACTCTGAAGAAAAGTCAAGCTAGTCTAGGCCAGAATACTGAAAATGGCAGACATTACCTCCTCTTCCCGTTTTAGCTGCATGATAACAACGCGTGAAGATGCTCTTCTCGGAGCTAATTCTTGAAGTTTCTTACGTAGTGCCTTTTCCTAAGTATAGAAAAACAAATCTTACAAGTGAGAAAATAATCCCTACTGCCATAATAAACCAAGTGAATGACAACGCTATCAAAACTTATGGTAGAATCTGATGAAATAACAGATCCAGAACTCAAACACAGTATAATAGTAAAACTTTAAAAAAGGCTATGTTTGTCAGAGCTAAAGGTGGGAAGGATGAGAGGGAGCGGACTGTTTGGGATGGATATTCAATGGCAGACCCCACCCAATTAATATTTTGAATATTTTAAACTATTGTTTAATATACATTACAGTTGACCAAAGTACATGTCCCACAGGAACGTGGAGCAAAAACAGAAAACTCGAAACTTGAAGTTGTCTAAAAAATATGTCCGCTAGTGATGGCGCTAAGAAAAAGACGGACAAACATGGCGGCCTCTCCGTTATGCATTATGGGTCTAGATGGCTCACTACAGTTGATTAAGTTTTTGGCGAATAGAATCAGGCACGAAGGAAATTTGCATATTTAGCAACTGTTTGGGGTAGGATAAAAGCAGAAGACTTTGGAATTTTTTCTCTCTCGCTCTTTCCACGTCACTGTGATAAGTTGTTATTAATTGCAAGCAACGCACCATAAGTATCGCTAGGATACTACTGGCCCAACGTGTCTGGCTAAGCTGCAAGCAGTAATCGGGCATTTTTGGAATGTTTTCTATTATTCGTCTGACTAGGCAGCGATGATTATCAAGTACTTTGAAATGCCAGATTTATAACTCCTTGTGTGTCCTTCCTCCACTATAGCACAACACTGAACACGAATGCTCCAAATTTTTGCATTTTTTTTATACAAAACATTTATATTTTCCAACACATGTATAACATGGTATTTGATGGTAATGTAATTATTTCAGAATACGACATGTAATTCAAAATGAACATGTATGTCAAAACTTTTGTTTCTTTGCAGACATGAGACTTTGTTTTATGATATATAAATAAGAAGGAAACTAAGCTATGTAAAAAGGACATTGTTAACAACTTCAAAGTCAGATGGTTAAAAAAAAGATGAAAAAAAAGATGAAACCTAAGATGGAGACTAAGTCAAGTGTTGGAAAATGGCCAAGACCTTGGCTCTAATCACGTAACCCTGATCACCTTGTCCTTTAAAAACAGTTATGGAATGTGCAAGTACTTTTGTTGGGAAATCGAAGAATTACCATCGACTAGGAAATGCCAATGGAAGTTTTATGTGTTTGCATGTAAAAAGGTCCTGTATTTCTCCTTTGTGGAGTGACAAAAGCAAAAATATATGTTATGAAGCACTCAGAATCAAACTCAAGAAGTCATTTTGAACAAACTTTTTAACATTACTTAAGTACAAAAAATGTTTTATCTCGATGTACAATGTATTAGTACACCTTTAGGCTGAAAATCTATGATTTTTTTATTGGTGCAAACAAATGTACTGAAATTCAGACTGGTGATAACACCTTATTAGCCTCAGTGGATTGGTTGCAACTGCTACTGCAATTTCTTTTTGTGTTTACCCAATTTGCCATTTATGAATTTCATATGAATGGTTTTCCAATTGCACTTCATACCACGTTGGAATTGCCCCGACTAATCCACTAAAACTAACTCTGAAAATTGAAGCAAGCATTACACTAGCAACCTGCTGCTCAGGAGATAAATGGTCCGGTGTCTTTGTGCCCATTAGGAAGATCTCGCAAGCAATTATGAAAGAGCTTTCTCTGATTATGTGATTACACAAATATACATGTAACTCGAAATCCAAGGTTCCACATTTCCCCTCTCATTTTTAAATGCTTCAGAACAGGTTGATGGCAATTGGGAAAACTTGCTATGCTAATGGAAAAGAGTTTGGTTTCTTAAAAGGATAAATTTTGATGGAATCACTATGCTTAAATATTCTGGGTCCATGTCCTATTATTTGTTGCAGTCCCATTCCTCTGGAACAACATTTTTCTTTGATTTAGTAGGCTGCCACAGAGCAGAGTCTATTTAAAGTTCATCACTTAAAATGTGAAAGAAAAAACTGATTTTACACACAACCCTACTTAATAAAAGTAATTCACAGTGTAGCTAAAAACCCCTACTTCAAATATTTTACATGCATATACATGTACATGCACATACACGTTTCAGCATGTTCTTTTTTGTATGGGTTTAGTGTAACTTTGTTTTAACCACTTGCTGCTGGGTGGTTTGAAAAATGCAGTGCACATAATCGGGACTTTTTCAAGATTTTAAGTTTTCAAAATTCTTCAAAAATTCATCATTTCAAATAATGGATGTTTACACCCACACGAATTACTGTCGGTCTCACAGACAAAATCTATTGACACCCAAGTATTTCAGCGCAGATAGTGCGGTGTTATGTAACTTTCTTTCATTCACGAACCTGGCACAGTGCACTGTTCACCTCTTTTCAATAGGGGCCAGATTAGCATGCAGCGGTGCTGTGTGGCTCATCGCTGTGGTGGTGGAGTGCTTTTGTCCCCAGTGGTAATCCGCTCGCACTAAATGCCCCAAACCGTGCTATACTGTTTCAAAACAAGGCTGGATTATCCAATATTGAGAGTGAAAAAATGTTGGTAATGCCCAGTAGCCTGGTCTTGTGTTCCGAGTACGGTCTTTTGTTACAAGGCCCAGTTCCAGACCACGCATATAAAGCATACATGTCCGATACCGGAAACCCTGGCGGCAAGTGGTTAATAGAGAGAAATGGAACATACTTTGGGGAATAAATAAATGTTATTGAAATTTCTTTACCTTAGCTGCAAACAGACTGTGTATTTCTGGCAGAAAGTCATTGGCAAGAGTCTTGTACAATTCCTTCTCACATTTCACTTTGCTTTTCTTGAAGAAATCTGTCAGCCTTTGCCAGTCCTCTTGTGAATGACACACTAAATGCCAGCGTGGTGGTTCCAAATCATCTTCACTATCAGTTTCTGTGTCACTTGACTGTGGAATACTCATACAAGATGACAAATCCTCCTCACTGCTCCCACTAGGAATGTCAGATACTTTCTTGGTAGCTTTGGAAAGCTTCTTTGGTTTTTTGTCAGCTTCTTCCTGAGTATTATCTCCTTTGCTTTTGACTCTTGATCTAGAGTTAGTTGCTTTTCTCTCTTTTGTTTTGGGTATTGCCTGGTATTTACATGCTGTGTGACTTTTGTTCAACTTCTTTTGTTTTACTTTTGAGGTTACATCCATGTGAGACACTTGATTCTTGGCCAATTTTTGTAATGGCTGATCATCATCACTGTCATCATCGCTTTCACTGATTATTGCTTTTGACTTGATCACTTTACGCTTCCTTGACTTACAGGGACTGACTTGTAATGAGCTTCCTTCATTGGTTTTCTTCCCTCCTTTTGTGGAGGTGGGTGCTTTTTTAAGGTAGGGTTGACTGTTGCTTGCATTCTTGGCATTTTGCTGAGTCTCTGCTTTGGATGCTTTCTGTTTCTTCAGCCCTGATCTCTCACGCTTTAATTTACCTCTTTCATTTTCTTTGTACATTATTTCTTGCTTCCTTTCATGTGTTTCTTTTTTTAGGTTTTGTTTTCTTCCACTTGTTTTCTTGGGTTTGTCTCCAGATTTCATCCTACTCTGATTAGTGTCCAATTGTTTTTTGCTCTTCGTATCCTTCTGCAGTTTACTCGAGGTTACTGGTTCCATCTGACCCTTTGTGTTTGTCCTTTTTCGTCCTTTAGGAATATATTTGTTGCTGTTTGATGGCTTTGGAACAGTGAGCTGTTCATTGTTGCATTCATCATCACTGCAAATAAAAGGCAACAGAAAACCACTGTTGTTAAAGATAACAATGATTAATTTATGTCATACAAACCAACACTAAACGTCAGAAATCTAAACATCCATATTACAATCCCGTGGCAAAACAAGCAGCTGTACGAGAGATGCTATTTACATGTCCATGTACACACACGGGTCATTCTATAAATTCAGAATCCGAAGTGTTTTTGAGTCCCTGTTACTTCTGACTTATGTAATTTTACATGAAAATATCACTGAAATTGGTTTCAAACTGTTTCTATTTGTTTGGCAGGTAACTGGCATTAATTCATCACTCTTGGACATTACAGAATGTGTTCTGAACTTACAAAATCACATGTCTGATGTGACAGAACATGACAAAATTGGACCCCTAATTTATAGAATTATGTATCTGTAAAAACTGCTTTTGACATGCAAACAATATGAATGTCTTCCTCTAAAAATTCCTCAACACACCATTTTGCCATGAACGTAATCCCCAAGGATTATTTTTTTCACTGATACTAGGGGATTATAGGACTAATGCTGCCTGGAATTTGTAAGGCCTTGATCCCACCCATGATTACATTGGGTAGACCCCCTACACACCAAACAGGATTAAGCAGTCATCTGTTTTTCACTGATTATTCAACAAAGGAAGTTTATCAAGAGCATTTCACCAATTACTAGTCTAATAGGCTGGAAAATCTGTGGGGGGGGGAATCAATCCGGAAAATTCACACCAAAATGATATGCTAAGGGATTTTGAAGGGGAGAAGATGTTGGAGTAGACAAGTGCCTTTTCTTCTGAAACAGCACCCTTTTTTGCTGGGCCTTTTGGATTTTTTATTTTATGGAAGTTGGAACGTTCCGACTTTTGTGGTCTAAAAACTTTAAAATGTGGATAGTTCCAATTAAATCAGAATGGTTGGCAGGTACATGTACATGTATGTTACATGTATAGGCAAGACATTGCACTGTTCTTAACGTTTAGATCTCACGACCCAAATTTGATAAATTTAATCAGCACACACGCGCTGAATGAAAAAATTAATTTGAAATTAGAATTCTAAATTTAAGCAAAATATACTTGCTATACCCTAGTAATACATGTAGGTTGCAAATTTTATAGACGGAGAATTGATCACATGATATGCCACAGACATGCATGAACTGAAATGTGAAATCATGGCCAATGGTCGCCTTGGTACATGAGTGATGTACCCCATGGAGTACATACATGCACATTATTAACTTGATCATTTCCATGGTTGAAAGTGCTGTTTGCACAATGTTGGATTGGTGTGATAATGGGTATAGACTTCACTCAAGTCAGGATCTCTGTGATGTTTTGGTTTATGCTTTGGATACGTACATGTACAATACATGTGTCCAGACCGCGCACTATTACTTGCTTCACGCCCTCTTGTCTACTTATTACTATGAGTTCAGTTCAGAAATCTTGACTTGACAAATCTGCCAACTATTTGTGCACAGCGAATGGGCTCATCTACCAAAAGTGGGAACAGCCAAGCACATTGCCAGACTTGTTTTTACGTTGTTCAACCTGCATTATAATGAACGAGTCTACAAGTCTGACTACTTTGAATGGTGGAAATTCTGTATACATCATGTCTTTCATATGCAATTTTGGAATATCTACATATTACCGACGTGGGGTCCAATTGGCTTAAATCCCTTATGTCAGACTTACTGACGTATGACGTGTTGACCCTCAAATGAGGGTGCCTTTTAAGGGTTATGTGAGCTGCCAGGCAGAGTACAACAACTGTGTAGTGTGTACAGGCTGAAGGGATGGCCGACTGGGGAAGAGCAACGTAAGTCCGACTTGATTCAGGTCTAAACTGGGTACACTGTACCGTCTGTACAGCTGCACTGGTACTATGTTATTTTTGTATAAGAGGTTGAGCTGTGGGGAACAATGAGGCACAATTTTAGCTATGACCACAACTTTTGTTCATAACATTTGTTCGTGTTGGGCCAACTTCACTGTAATAATGTTGGTGGATGACAGCAGGTAGTTTTTTTAAGGAAAAGTTTTCTGTCATTCCAAAAAATGAGATCAGTAATTTGATATTGGGCAGGACAGCATCAGCACAAAGAAAAACTACGGAGAATTCTGTGTGTGTGTGTGAAGACAATAGGTCCAAATTCTGCACTGCCATAGGCACAGGGATGATGCACTTTTAGATATTGCCTATGACAAAATTTGATTCGAAACTTTCTGCAGAAATGTCAAGACAAGAGATGGTACTCCTACTAATTATTCAATTTAGCTGAATTTATTCAGTAGAGACTTTATGGGTGAAGACAATTTCAGCAAAATGAAATGCTTTGTGATGCAGTACAATATACATTGTATTTCCTTTTGTTCCCTTGCATTAGTAACTCTATTACCATGGTATAATAAAACAACAGTTGTTGCCTGTTGTGATGTGGTCCATTTGCCTGACTTGCTTCACCTTGGATGCCATTTGCCCCCTCAGATGTACAAAACACCAAAACCCCTACATACATATACATGTAGCAGGCAACAATTGTATAATGTACACCCTATCATATAGTTTGTGCATAAACATGCAGTCATGGCTGTACTGTCCTTTACGGCCTTCAGCCTACAATACGTGGTTTATTTCAGCTTCAAAAAAGAGCAAACACAACAATGAAATATACATGTGTGTATCATACTTAATTACTGAAACATGGAGCAGAAACACAGGGACTGCTGTTATCCACATAGACAAGAATGGTTTCCCAAGGAATGGTTTCACACAGGAATGGTTTCCTACAAATATGGTTTCCTACAAATATGATTTCCAAAAGGAATGGTTTCTCCACTGCTTTCTGTGTTCCACATGTCATACAAATTAACTTTTGCTGCTCATACACCAAGAGCATGTTGCTTAGTTTATGGGTCAAAGCACTGTCCCTTCAATGAAGACACAGCGTGTGAACGTCATGCACTCAGTAGCATTCAGTCACAGTCTGCTGCTACTTCATCTATGACTGAGGCTAGTCTGTGCTGTAACTACAGCATACAACATACATGTATGCTGCTATACTCAGCTGTATTAAACCTCTCAAACATGATTTGACCCATTGCTTTTGACTACCTTATTTTAGACGATTTCCTTTTCTTTTTCTTGACTCTTACTCCTTCCTTGCTCTTTCCTTTCTTCACTGTCTGTTTCTGTTTTCTCCTCGCTTCTTTCATATTTTTAATGGCTTTCAAACGGTCCTTTTTTCGCTTGTGCTTTTCTTTTAGCCTGCAAGAAAAAAGTGACATTTGTACCACATATTGTCAAAATTGGTTTGGAATTTAATTCTTATGAGAAAATGCCAACCTCTTACCCACAAAGTATTTTTATTGGGTACACACAAGCAGCCTGGGTGACAGGAACCAAGAATATTTCATCACTTTGTGCACATCCCTTTGACCATACACAAGTATCAGAATCTATGAACTCATAAACAGTTTTCAGATTGGGTGACATCCTGAAGACAGAATGTGAAATTCTAAAATTATTACTCCCAACATGATGTCTGCACAATCTCTGTAAACCCCAAAGCCTCAAACAGCATCCATGATGTAGTCACACTCCAGGTTTGTTGGGTTTGATGTGCTATCTCAGATCATGGAGCTATTATACACATGGAGTAAGCACATACAGAGATCAAAAGGGTCAATGAAAGCCATCGCCAGCACTGCATGTGCTGCACGGACAAAACAAATTACATGCTGCTTGCAGGCTATAAGGAATGCTCGGAGTTGCATTTGCAAAGGATTGTGGGTACTGCGCATGCGTGTTCGTAACAAATCCCCAAAACATCTCTTTGAACAATAAACAGAATTACTAACACAAATTCTCCCAAAATATGCGACAAGAAAACTGAAAGAATGTAGCTGGTCCAGAGGAAAATTTAAAAAAATCCACAAAAGATTTGTGATCCTTCCTGTCACTGGCCACAATTGGCAAGGTACATGTTGTCATGTCTTGCCATGTTGTCAAATGCATTCCTGTGGCATGTTTCTACCTTCTTTTAACTGTAGGAATCAATGAAATGGTACGATTACTTTTGTTTGTGCTTGGCCTTTCTTTCTTCTTCAGTTAGTTGTCTATCCTCTTTGTAAAGACGAGTGCCATAGAAGTACCAATACGTAGCACCTGTACGGTCTGTACCTAGTGGCTCCACACGAAGATTATCTCCATCATAGTCCTGTACACACACAAAATACCACAGGCTGCATGAGACAAAACAAGAAGCAACAATTCTTTTCATGACAATGCATACATGCACCATGAGAACCTTGAATTGCATCTTGACCTGTGAAAGCTCTCTGAAAGAAGAATTGCCATGCAACTAATATTTACATGTGTATCACTGAAGAAAGGACTTGGCCAAGTACGCAAAAGGCAAGGGGACTAATGTGGGATGGGAAGGGATAGATAGGGCAAAAAAAAACAGTAAAAATATGTGGAAAAAAAATTACTTCAAGTACAGTATCTCAATACAAGCAACTCTATTTTGGGGGTGCATGCAGTGAGGTTGGATGGGTTGTTTGAAGGGATAGTACATGGCTAAGGATAAAAGAAGTACATGTAATATTTAACTCTGTAAAAACAAGTCAAGACTGAAAAGAAAACTTGGTACTGATTTACAGAGTCGTGATGATACATGTATGTACCTCTGCAGCTCAAATTGTCTGAGAGTAATGTCCTTTGCTAAATATTTCCAACTTTCAAATATGGATTGCTGTCCTTACTGTCCCTCAAAAAAAAACACCTTTCAAATGTGGTACCTTATTAGACACCATCAATATCGTATTTTGGCTGATATTGATATATCAGTTTTATTATACCAATATTATCGATATTTATTCATTTCATTTTCAAGGCAGTGATGCAAGCAGAAACATGAAAATAAAAGTTTCCATTTTCGTGGCCAAGAATAGCAGTCAGCAATTTTACCTTTGATATGTTGTTGTCCTGTTCACAAAAGCTTACAAAAAGTGGTAAAAAGTTAACAGCTTCATGTACAGTACATGTATGTGGCGTACAATGACTTTTTCCATTGTCACAAACATGTAGAGTACATGTACAGGTACATGTATGTTACAGTTTTTTGTACAAACTTACGTGTATAAAGCCACTGTATATTTAGCAGGGCACCTTTCACACAAGGGAAAATGCGTATACGAACTGTAAAATACCCTTGTGTCTGGGTACCAAGCCCATTGGTTACTGCACATGCGGTGCAGCAGAGCTTTGACAGCCAGAAAGCGCAGCTCAATGACGTTTTTGTAAACTAAATATGAGCGAATTTTACCTGGTACAAGTGTGTGTACTTTTGCATTATATTACACGAGGCAAAATCGTTGAAAGGTTAAGATACTTGTATGAATATGTTGGGGTGACGTATATTCATATATTGGTTGAAAGAAGTCCTCACGATGTTATGAGCGAGAGGGTAACACTCCGCTGGGTGCTTACGATTAATTTTGCCATTTTCCAAGAGGTATCAACCCCAAAAAGATGAACGAATAAATTCAAAGGAAAGTCATGTTTCTCCATAGCACAGTTTGTGCAAGGAAAGAATACTTACATGAACGGGCCTTCAGCTGCGAATCAGTGTCGACTTTCACAATAATGACCAATCCGATGTCCCCCCCCACAAGTATACGTTTATGCTGTAATTGTGTGCTGTAAATTTGCACTGCGATTACTCGAAAAAATTAGTTTGTATAGCAGATTTGCCACGCAGATTTTTTGCTGAAAATTATTCCTTGCAAGGTATTGTAACAGGCATGAATTGCTATTAAATTGTTCTAAGGGTACAACCCTAGACCAATACAGTAAAATCTCAATACCTTGAATCTCTGGGTAATGGACAGAAAATTTGAGTTATCCGGAATACAAGTTAAAAGAAGGTCCCAATTTCTTTTGAAGTTAAGTCATTATTATGATGTGTATCATAACATGTACCTATACGCTGACGCACAGTTACCGTAAACCTCCCTACGATGACTTTGAAATGACATTGTGGTTATTTTTTACTTTGGTGCCACAAGTTTTTGTTCATTTTTTTGTTGAAAGATGTTTCTGCGGAGGAATTTTGTTGTCAATTGGCTGATAAATAACACATTACATGTACTGAATATCATTTAAACTATGTACCTTTGTGGCACATCTTTCTTTTGCATTGTGCATGTGTGACGCATTGTGGTGGTTCTACGTCTGATACCGCACCGCAATGCAACACCTTGCACATGCGTACTCGGGCAGGGTTCCCTTATGAGTCAGACGCACCTTTTTGCGCTTCAATAAAATTTCGAAAAACAAAATGCCAACGGTAACAATTGGGCCAATTCCTGCAAGTCAGATTTTGCTGTCACAGTGTGGTTTACGTGTCTAGATTGATCATCACTGTAGCGTGCTTGCAAGTATTACGGTGTGAAAAGCTGAAGTGTGCGTGTGAGAAATGATTCACAACTAGACCTGCGTTCTGTTTACACTTTCTGGAAGTATTTTGGCGGTGATTTCTTTTGGATCTGCTATTTTCTTTTGATCTAGAGCCCAACTAATTGCCCAACACTGAATTATTCATATTGCTGCAAAAAAGATCTAGTGTACCCGCCAATGAGACAGTGTGTTTTCATGACAAACATTTTGCAAGACACAGCTATCCAATTGCAATATTCCTTCATGACAACATGCTTCTTCAGCGACCATCTTGTGCGTGGGCGGCCATGCCACGTAGTGGGCGAGTGAAATTGGACTGTCAACAAATCATGTCATGCAGCTTGTGTCCAAAATCATAACACAGATGGAAAATTAAATAAAAATGTCTCTCCATGATACAATTTGTGTTGGAAAGACTATTTATATAGATGAGGGCTCCAGTTGATGAGTCTCCACATTCTTGCAGGTACACACAGGCCTACATGTGCATGCCGTTAAGCTTCGTCGTCATCCATGCTGATCGGAAGCCTTATAAAAATCCCTTGATCGACGCTTTCACATATACTAGTTTTTTTTAATCTCACATGTACATTAAACATGTTTTCATATGACAGTGAATTTTATTATTCACAACACATCACAATATATTAATTATAACCAAGAGATCTTTTGATATAACAGCAATCACACGTTCATGTGTATGCACATACATGCATACAAGTGCACATGCATGACATAGTACAACAATGCAGCGAAGCAATTGCACTGCGTTCCACCTACAAGGAATTTCAGATACAATTAACGTTTCTACGTGGTCCCACGGATTTCCTACTAATGAGAGTCGACTGTACTAGGATTAAGCTTCTGAAGAAGCATTTTCAAATTGTACTCGGAAAAATGCTATGGACAATGGTTTTTGACACTGCAGGTTAGGCAAAAGTGCTCACGTCTTGTCTGCGTTCTCGTCTTAGCACAGCTCATGTTACGTTAGTTTCTTTCTCATACAAATATGTACATGTACATTTTGAACGGGACTGAAGAAATATGCTCATAGTAAGTGCGATCTTGTCTCAAGCATGCTCGTGTTTATCATGTTTGACTACACATGTACATGTTTATTCCCCACAAAAACAGAACTGTATAAATTTTAAAACAAATGTGCATATATTGGCATGTCTGGGTGCATATACATGTACATGTATGCATGACAATGGAAACCTGTATATTTGTTGGGTGACTGCAGGGTAACAACTAAACATGTACAAAATGCACAAAAGTACAAAATCAAAAAACTTTCCATGATTCTCATTAAGATCAAGGTCCCAATATGACACAATGTACAGGTACAAATCTATGTGTACATGTAGATTTGTTTACCTTGAGAACAGCAACATCAGCAGCATCAAGTCGATAGTCGCAAAGTGCATGTAGGATTTCTACTTTAGTTAGAGTAGGAAGCATTTTGAACGTGACATCTTGACTGTTCAGTGGGTTGACTCGCTTCTCTCCTAGCTCCCATTTTTCTTTCATGACGGACCTCAGGTATTCCAAGTAATCCTCTGACCTTGAACGAAGAACATGCATATACAAAAGTTACATGTACATGTACCATAAAATGGTAAGAAAATGCACGACAGGCAAAAACCCCAAATAAAAATGAAGGAAAATAAGAAGAAAAACTGAAACTATCTGACTAAAGAAAAAAGGGCCTTTACACAATGAAGCACAAAAAGAATCATCCCACATTCATGCAATGATAAACATACATGTAATAAGTCTATCGTGTACCTGTAGCTTTAAAATAGTGCTTGTTCCCAATCTGACATACATTTCCGTGTATAGAAGATAAGTTTTGTACATGTATGAGGCAAGGTTATAAAAATAATCATAAAAGAAAAATCTTGATGGCAGCTTCAATACACAGTACAGCATACCTGCATAATTTGTGTATGAAGGATTATGGGATATCAGAGCAAAAATGTTTGCATAAAGGCAAATTCATACTTCAGGCAAATGCCAACTGAATACATGTATGATGTCATGAAAAATTTTGCTCAAGTTGAAATATGTTGAAACTATTACAAATTCACAACCAGCCTTAACTTTTATACTGAACTCCTTATACCTATTGAACATACATGTAAATAGTCAAGCCCTAAAATATATGTACTGTATATGTAAGCCACTGCAGAGCAATTAAAAGCCAGGACCCTAACACTATCAAGGACACAGGAATGGACTGCGCATGCATGTACATGTACACCAACATACACTCAGGACAGAAACCATCATTGGAAATGTATGAACATGTACATGTATGTACATGTACCTGGAGACAAGCCCTAACCTGGAATCCTCAAGGGAAAATAAGCAAGGGGGAGACCACAGAATAGTTCACCAAATGAAACCAAGGTTGACCTAAAGAAAATTGTGTACACCACAAGAAAGTGGAGGAACTTGAAAAAAGTTGAGTTTACAGGAGACCAGTTATCAATACATTACATGTAAATACATGTACATATATATACATATTAAAGGAAATCTTTTATTTCAAATCAATAGAGTTTGGATGAAATTTTTACATTATTTCAAAACACAAATTTTCTCTTTTTTCTAAACAATCTGATAAGGTACAGGGGTGTGACTGGAGCATTAAATATACTGGTAGCTGAAATGAAACTGTATGACAAAATCCATGTACAGTGTACCTGAACTGACATTCTTAAGATATATATTCACTCACGTTATACTTTTCAGTCCTTGTATGCCACGAAGAAGTTGTACAACCAGATTGGTGATAAAATCACTTTCCTCAACACCAGCATCCAGAAACAGGGCTTCTTCCAATTCCTACATGTAAAGAAACATGTAAAAACATCAATATGCAATTTAACATTTAACTTGTTTTGGTAACAGTGCTTCATTTCTTTGTTCTTATTCTTTGCTACCATATTATGTCAGCATGTATGAAATATGCACTGGCACAATATCATAAATTGCATGAAGTAAAATCAGTGACCAGTTAGGTATCAGTAACATATCAAGCCATACATGTATGTATGTCATCCAACCTGTACATACATACAGCTTTACACAAATGCAGGTTTGATCTTCAAAAGATCTCAAGGTACAAGCTGTGGTTATTTTCCATGCGATAATGCTACACTAAACAAATCTCGTCAGGCATATACATGTACGTGCATGTACGGTACATTTCCACATTTCTAAATATGTAAAGACAGGTACAGTGTGGTTTTTCATAGCAATGGGTAACTTCATAACTTGCAATAAAAATGTTTAATTGCAATATTGTTAAATATTGTGGTACATGTATTTTTTACATGTACATACAGGTACATGTGCACACTGCCCTCTACAGATTGTATGGGCATAAGCTGACTTTACTATGCCGTGAGTAATAAACCAACATTGACACAGTGGAGTAGTTACAACTTGTAGGGTCCAACCTAATCACTTAGTCTGTATTTCACAAAAAAAATATTCTTAATAGTTGGATCTAGCCAGAAAAAAAGAGATTAAGTGTTCAACTCTTAAACATTAGAAGAGGTCTATATTGAAAGCAAAAATTACCATCACTGGACAGAATGCCGAATCTCCCCCCTCCCTTTCAACGTTGGGAGAAACTGCACCATGCTGGCTCGTTTCTACCACAACATTGAAACGGGGAGGGGAGGAATTGGGATTTCTAGTCCACTGGAATAAAAACCAACAAAATCTGACACATTCTCATTGACAGATTTACTTAATCTTAGGAGTGAAATTTCTCAAAGCATCCAATGACAAACACTGGCTTATCACCCGTCTTACAAATCATGTGGGTTTGCCTTCTCCGAGCTTTGGTACTGCAAACAATACAGTTGCGCTTTTGCCTAGTTTTGCCCAGTTTTGCCTGGATAATGCTGTACATCTTCTGACATACAAGGGCTGCTCTTGTGCATATGTCCGGCACCTCCACTCTTCCCTGCTGACAGCAGGCCTTGGATCAGGCGAAAGATCAGGCGAAAGTCAAGATTTGACAGTCTACAGTTGGTATTAAGACATTATACACTAGTCTTGCATTTACATGTAGAATACATATGTATAGAAGAGCAAAAAAATACTTGGTTCCACACTTCACTGATCTGTGAGCATATGCATAGTACACACACTGTTGTGATACACAATTGGTTCCTCCCATGTACATGTATATGCTCACTGTTGTGTACTCAATGACAGTATTTGGTTTGTTGAGGTCACGATAATCTGTGGGACAGTTTTTACACTCAATCTGTTTATTAGTTACACTACAGTTACCATACTTTGTCAAGAGTGTTACACGCTTTTTATCCTGCCATACAACACACAGTTGTCCTGACTTTTCATAGGAAACATTTGGGGGCTTGCAAAATGTGGAATTCCTTCAGTCTTGTATCGCACAGTTCCACAAAAGCCAAAGCCTAACTGGGTTAACCTATAAACAAGAGCAGGGCCGGTGTACCAATTATCAGCTACGATGCAGTGTCCCTGATTTTCAAATCTATCAACAAGTTCCAACACAACTTGACCAGGTCGAGGAACTGCTGTGGGATGATCAGCTACATTGTATGTATACATTGTCTGTCTCTGAGTCGTACCCTGAGTACACTGTCCATGCGCATGTGTACCCTGTTTCAGATTTGTTCACGAAGATACACTTGATGTCCCATTTGGTTGGCTTTCTTGGCTTTGCTGCTGCCGAGAAATCGTCTTCACCATCGTCCATACCGCTGGCATTGCTAGCATATGTCACAGTCGCTATCGGCCAACAATTCTTGCAAAATATCCTCTTCACTTTCCATGTTTTGGCCATGACTGCTCCTTCGCTGTGTACATTACATGTCAGACGCGTGAAAAAAATTGGCAGTGCATGCATCACGTACCCACGCTAAACTTACACGTATACCGCAGCAAAGGATGCCGTCGAGCAACCAATCAGAAGTGGGTGTTCCAGGCCTTGTGCTACCTTTTTTCCTAGATACCCACCAGGCTGGATTATCAATAAGAAAATCACACTTTCTCACAATTTACAATTTGAAATTTCTAAATACATGCATCTATAGGGTCAGTGCAATAAAGAGAGCATTGCCTTTGGGTTTTTTTTGGGGGGGGCTGACCAGTTTTACAAGATTAAAATGACAAAAGAATGGGGGTGTGAAATATACAATCCTTGGCAATAGTTTCCGTTCTGGACAAAATGCTGGACATGATACCGGTAGTTTCACAAACATACGTAGGTGATAGTTTCATGTACATGTATATACATTGCACATACATGTATTACTTTTCACTTACATTGTAGATACGTGTTACAATCATTTATGTACATGAAAATTGTTAGGATCATGTAGGCCTATGTACATGTACATTGTACATGATAGTTTTTACATACATGTACATGTACAGTATATGTACATTGTACATGATAGTTTTTACATATATGTACATTGAACATGATAGTTTTTACATACATGTACATTGTACATGATAGTATACAGTAGGGTGGGTTACTCTATTATCGTGCTATATGTAGTTATCACATTTTCTGATCGAAATAAAGATTGCTTGCTCAATTTCCTGAATTATCCTGTCCTTGTTGTTTAACTTTTACTATTTACTGGTAATTTGAATCATAAAAATTTGTGGTTCAATTTATAAATTTTTCTCTACAACAGCTCAGAAGATCGGTGAGTGCACTGTATGGAAGCGGAGGTGGAGTCTCTATCATTGCAGTATCAAGACATGGTTTCTACAATGGCCTTTAAAGCACTTTATTTATGAATAAAGATAAACAGAATGATTTAATTTACAGAGGAAACAAAAACAGTTCATTTTGTGATAATGTCTCATTTTACCTGTGACTGACTCCTTTTTGCCAGTCTCCTGCTTAAAGATGTTCAATGCACTGAGAACGAGATAGGAACGATTGCATTGCGCCACCTTACACTTGCTAATCCCACAAGGAATGACTTCATTTTTTCACTGAAACTTGTTTACCCGAATTTTAAATATAGCAACATCTTTGACATCATCTTATTACTTAAATTGGTGTCTGCGGAAGGAATAACAACATGCGAGTGTCGCAATTTCATTTTCTTTGTGGACTCATTCTTTTTATACAGATGTCTGAAACAATCATTAAAAATGTCTGCTTTCTGAATTCAACATGTAATTCCCCAAAAGTTATAACCATTTCATTAGGCATGAACTATTTCATTCAAAATTAATATTTAGAAATTCTAAATATCTATTGCAAATTCTTCAAATTGTAAAGGAAAAGTAAAAAATAACTGGTTTTAAAGACAAGCTCCATTAGTTTTAAAAATTTTCAAAATAACTATTATTGTGTTTAGTGTAAACAAAATCATATTCATTAAAAAATTATGTCTGTATTGCATCTGCATTTTTTGTAATTTTGCCAAAACTTCTGAACGATGCCTTCGAGTTTTATGAAAAATTTCCACAATCTGACTGCTGGCAGTACTGTTGAGAAACTAAATCTGTGTGATGTACATGTAACACCGGAGAAAACATTGAAACTGGTATCCGAGGCATGACTAGTTCCGCTACAAACGTACATACATACATAAACATGGAGCTACAGGTGCATGAACCTCGTACTGGGATTGATCTATATGTATATGCCGAATTATCTCTTTTCTGTCGAGAGTTTGTAACCCTTTCTTCATAATTTACAAGAATGCAAAAATCATCTGTCATTGGTGGATGTACTAGAAATTCTGCCAAAGAACCAGGATTGAAATTCTTCGAGTTTATTAAGAATGAAGGCATTCTTCAAGTTGGTCCTGTCTTCGCAGCTATGTGTGCTATACATGCCTAAAGTGCAGGCACTGTGGTATTTCCTTGTCAAGGTATCTATACAATATTCATTAGATGCAATTCCAAAACCCCATTGCATTATGACAATGTGTGCATGTAAACTTTGTAGGCTCACAGTCACACGGCGTATGATAGAGTAGTGACTTGGTGTTCTCAAAGTACTCGACATGTATGCCTATAATCTAGGCCTGTCCAAAGATAGTACAGCACCTTATAGCAGCGCAAGATGGAGAACTCTGCCCAAAAGGTGTTATCGCCGGGACGCCATTCAAGTGTGCACGTTAATGCATAGGCGCTGTCGCGGCGCCTGCACCCATGCATTACATGCACTGCGCAGGCAAAGTCTAACCCAAATGGTGCCAATGCAATCATATTTTAGGCATATTTACAGGAAGTTCTCCATATTGGCGGCGCAGTACTACTTCCTGAACATGAACGCACTACTCCGTAGGCCTTTCAGGGTCCATCTTGTCCATACACTATGGCTTTTTGACAAATGTCCTGCAATTGTACCACAGAAAACCTCCATTTACACTTTCTCCAACAAATATTCCCCTAACAACCCTATAATAATAGCTAACTTATATGGAACTACCGGGCACAAGTGTACTTTGTAGCATTTAACTATGTACATTACAAAAATGAGTTTTTTTTCTACCAATGATCCGCACACATCTGCATTCTCTGTGGCCGTACGTCACGTGACAAAAACATGCACAGCACATTAAGGTAGCAAATGTTTTTGTAACTTTGAATTCCGACTACTCTCATTAAGATTATGTACATCAGGGAAAATTGCAGTCAGGAAACCACACTAATATGTGTGCAGATTATCAAGGGATGAGAGGTGAGAATGGTAGAAAAAACACCTCACTTTTTGCCCATAAAAATAGGTTAAACACTACAACATACACTATAGCTATTATTATAGGGTCTTTAGGGAAAGATTTGCTTCTGAAAGTGCAAACGGAGGTTTCTCTGTACGATGGCAGGACATTTTTCAAAATGCAGTCAATCAATCAAGCAACATTTATTTCCATAATGCCAAAAGATTCCAATACAAAACCACAGAATAAATTATACATGTAGTTAATATTATAAACATCAATAGATTGGGGGCAAGAATCAACAAAGTCATCGGCAATTACGGGGGAATATGCAATACTATAGCATATGGAACCATCAAACAGATGGACAAACAAAAGCATGGAGCAGAGCCTTGCTAATCAGGAAGTAGGCCTAACGCCATACGATCTTTGGGCCGCCCTACATGTTTGTATTTCTGTGAGCTACCTACCTCGATCTCAAAATCAGGAAGTGAAAACGTGCTTCGGAACAACGAACAGAAATGTGCAATAGCCGGAACTTTCCAGCTTGATCGAATGTCTTCGATAGAGACATCCGAATGTCCCCCCTTTGCTGTTTCTGTCATGTTTGAAATGACCTGATTCATTCTTCCAGCTGATCATTTGCCGCCACAGCCGTGCTTAAACTCAATTCTTGAAAAGGATGGGCCTACTGCTAGTGTTACCGGAATACTGCAAACATGGCAAAGCGGACACTTTAAGTTGTACTGTAGTTGTACATGTACGCACATCACTACATGTACATTGTGCACTACTTACATGTACATACATGTACATGTACAAACGCTAACATTTAACACGGAGTGCATGCATGATCGTGATCTTGAACAAAGAAACCACAGACAGGTAGACGTAGCGCCCTCGTTTGAGGTCGGCATAGTGTGGGCAGGTCTAACCTCGTTTCCATGGGTACGATCTTGCCGCGCCATGTTGATTCCCACCATGCCTTTGGTAATGTAGTGGAGAACGCTCGCACGCAGCCTGTAGTCGAGGTTGTCACAGCTCGGGGGGGGAGACTTATTATTGACAAAATATTACGGAAGCGTATTACCGCCAAAATAATAAAAAAAATCTCGCCCCTATCGTGAACTGAAACATGTAATTGCTGAGCATTCGGTAATTGAATACCTTCTTCAGGGCGAGCAGATTCAGTTGTGAATGAACGCGGAAAAATCTACGTTCATTCCCCCTGGATGCAGCGTTCTAAGTTCGAAAATGACACGCTGCTACAGTTCCTTAGGCCTACGCTGTACATCGGATGACGCTTTCCGCAAGATGCAGACGCTTACGTCACTGAGACTAAGTGGCGGCGCGAAAAAGTGCTGCGCAACAGGGAGACCGAGTGTTTGTTGACGCACACTGCGCAAGTGTGCTGCAAAGTGGTCACCAAGGCGACGCTTGGTCTCTCTGATGTACAGTTTACCACAGCGACATGTAATGCAATAAATTACTTTTTATGCATGTATGATCCCGTGTATTCTGTAGCTACCGCGGGGGCCGACGACCAACGGGCTGTTAACTATGTGGGGGCAGGTGTTATATCTGGGGCGCCGACAAGGGGAATTGCTGCCTGCTTTTGACGGCGAGACAGAATCTAACCGGTAACGCACAACCATGGAGCTACAAACCCATGCCCCTGACAGAACGATCGCACCTAAACGCGCAAATCGGGGGTTCGGTGAAAATGGAAATGAAAAAGCTGTGGCCGCATTTCCGAGTGTACGAAATGTTTGAGAAGAACATTACTTACCGGGATGTTTTGGGGGTGGTATGTGAGTACGAGGGGGACGCGATCACTTCGCTTGGCCCCGGTGGATTTCAGGGCCGTTTTTGCGCGGGATTGAAGATACGGCATTGAAGGCAGCGTCTGTGATAGCCGCGCTGATGAAAGACACCTATCATTTCCTTCCCACGCACAGAGAACTCTGCATCACTACTACAAATCCTACGCAGTCGAAGAAACTGAGAGTAAGGGATAGAGTTCTTGCACTTGCCGTGAGACGATTGGTACTGCAGGTAGCTGTGGAAATCTGTGGATTTGTAATGCACGATTGTGCCAAGTTTCCGCGCTCAGATCTGGACGCGCACGTCGAGGAAGGTAACCGAGTGCTGCGACACATCAGATGTGTAGCGCAGCGCTGGATGAAAAGCATCCGCAAACGAAATTCTCAACGTCATCACACGTACCGGTGATAGCACCGACAATCAATGTATCACCGGTACGTAATGGCTGCACGCCCTGATACTGGGTCAGCATCTGCTCCTCGATGTGGCCAACAAATAGACATGCATAACTTGCTCCCAACAGTGTGCCCATAGCAACACCACTGGTCTGAAATCTCCTGGTTAGCGTTGTTCGTTGACATGGGCGTAAAATGAGATTTGTCTGATTTTAGCTTGGGGTAGGCCTACTTAGATTTGATTTTGTTGAGTTTGGTTGCTTCGAAAGCCGCATGAAGTTCGTGATTTGGGTCGTGAATTATGCCCCGATGTAAGCCGTACGGTCATCGGTGACATCATGACAATGTCGTAAGCACCGATCAATGGTGTTGCTCGAGTATCGATGCGCTCACGCATAGTGTGCACGTCATGATCTTACGTGAGGTGGAGTGTAAAATGCGATGGATAGTGTCACGATAAGTACTCTCACCCGGGTTGAGACCAGAAGGCTTGAATTTCAACTCAAACCCATTGGGGATAATCTTGTGCTGGAAGTAAGACTTAATGAAACTTACCTGACTACAGAAGCGTGTCTTCGTAAATATAGCCATGGCAAGTTCCAGCAAAGTCTCCACAGCTGCAGGTGATGAAGTTGGCAAGCTGTTTAACAATCGCCGACAAATGTGAAGCTTGGATATCGGTGATCGACAAAATCCACAGCAGATAACAGCTCAGAGAAATTATGGAAGGGCTGCGTAGCACCCTGATTGGGAAATGCACGTGTTTTCTGCGTTCATTCAGAACTGAAGCTGCTTGCCCTGAAGAAGGTACTCAGTTAGCGAAAGCTCGACAATTACATTTTTTTATTTACGGGCGAATAAAATGAGCAGTTTTGTCTTTGGAAGTTGTCAAAACAATAAGGACTATCCCCAAAGATCAGAGGAATTTACACCGTGTCTCTCGGAGGGGCTAATGGCTATTCTGTCCTATAACTGAAAGAGGGCCAGAAATTCCCTTATTTGTTTCTTCCAAAAAAGCTCCCCCAATCAACAATTCCGTCTGCTTGTCCTCTTTCTGGTAGTTTTCTTTTCTGTGTCCCGCAGTTTTGAAGTTGTAGAAGATGTTTGGTTTCTCCGTTTGTTTACAGAACAAGACTGTCATTGCGAAAAAAAACAAACAAAAAAAAACACTGCCGCATTCAGTGGCAACAGACAAACCGTATGATCCTTCTTCAGAAAAAAAAGGAAGCGTATTGGAATTGGTTTCTATATTTTTCTTCGTTTTGATAAATTTTTACTGCAAAACCGGGCCCGAGATGATATTAAAGGGTGCATTCCACCAGAATGGTTGTATGTCTGCGCGCAAGCTCATTAATATTTTGTGATCCCACAGGGATTTTCCAATAAGACAGACCTTAATCAGGAGGGATCATAGGGATCATTTCTATAAAGCCCGAATTTGGGACTGATATATTTTCCAGTTCGGGGTAGTTCTTTCACCAAAAAAACCCCCAAATTGAGGGCCTGTTTTGGATAGAGGCAGGCGGCTACATTCAGAAATGAACGCTTAGTTTTAACGCTATTTTGGGGGTATATTCCTTGAAAGGAGAATAAATAATTTCGTGGCTTACCCCCATGAAATTGAAACAAGAAGTGATCTTCTGGCCATAATCTTGAATTTCCAGTGGAAAACCGGAGGCGAACCTCATCACGAGAGTCAACAGGCGGCGCTGTTTCGGTCCGATCTATATGGGCGGCGCGGGTAGAGATCAGTGGTATGATTTTGCGCGCTGCTCCTGTTTTGGTCACATGACGTACGGGGCATAGAGCTGTGCATCGTCGAGGGATGAGAGGTGAGGTAATCTCAGCAATGAGGGTGGACTCAATATTCTATAACTTTATAGATATAAGATCTAGATATGACTTGGAGCTGTGCATGGTAGAAGCACTAAAGTGGGATGCAGCATTTACAAGGAAGTGTGTGGTTCCGAGAAGAACCGAAATGACCGATGGTGCATGGTCAGCTCTTGCCTCACGAATAAGGCTGTAGTGGCTCTCTGTTACAATCTGTCTCTTATAAGTTATAGGTCGCCACCACAGCCCTACTTCAAGGCATGTCTTAAATGCCTGAAATCCAAACTGCAGGATTGTCACAAACTTTGAATCCTAATATCTTCCGAAATGAGAATGACTTTGCAATTTTACTTACACCAGCGTATTCCTCAGAGTTTGGACTTTCATACGAGCACCCTAAACATGCTAAAGCTTTCCAAAATCGTAAATTTTCTGATGTAGGCCTATGGCACCTTGAAAAACCTGGCCTGTAGTATTAGATGTTGACCACAGGCGGTGCCATTTTGAAAAATGAAGGCAGCAATTTGTGCGTCAGAAGTCAAGGCACCCGACAGGTGCCGTAGATGCATAATTCATGTTGTCACAGTATTGCTTAGTAATAAGTTGCATGCGCACTTTGCCTAGTGTACAGTACGCCCACAGCACGTGTGTGGAGCATTATACAGACTGTTATTCAAATTTAATTTCTCCGGTTCCTTTTTTGTCTGTTACGCAAGGTATGTCGGGGAACCAGTGTTGTGTGGTGGTATTGGTACAACGTATACCAGAGGGCCTGTCGGGTGCCTTGAAATCCGACGCACAAAGCGCTGCCTTCGTTTTTTTTAAATGGCGCCACCTGTGGTCAGCATGTAATACTACAGGCCAGGTTTTTCAAGGTGCCATACATCAGAAAATTTACAACTTTGGAAAGCTTAAGGGTGCTCGTATGAAAGTCCAAAATTTGAGGAATACGCCGGTGTAAGTAAAATTGTAAAGTCATTCTCATTTCGGAAGATATTAGGATTCAAAGTTTGTGACAATCCTGCAGTTTGGATTTCAGGCATTTAAGACATGCCTTGAAGTAGGGCTTCAAGATAAGAGACAGATTGTAAAAGAGAGCCTGAAGTAGGGCTTCAAGATAAGAGACAGATTGTAAAAGAGAGCCATCACAGCCCTGTATGTGGGGCTAGGTTAGCTCTAGCCCCAGACTGGGTTCATTACCTTTAGCACCCTCTTCCTGATATACATGTAAGAGAACAAGTTCTACTTTTTCAAAACATCTTATCTAAACAAGTTGTTGGTGATATCCTCTTATATTAGAGAGAAAAGAGAACAGTGCTCGTGGTTTTTGAGGGAAATTTTTGGGTAAAACAGCAGCATTTATGACCTCTTCGAGGAGAGCTGTTATCAAAAAATAAGCGAATGTAATCTGGTTCCTTGACTTGGATGGAGATTTTTTTATGAATCCCAAGGGCCTGAGTCAGGTAACCAGACAAAAAACAAAATGGTGTGATTCGACCAAATAGTTGTCTTAATTGCCAAACTCAGGTTAGAAATTTGAAGTTTTTTTGCTTAAATATTGTCAAAATTTACCTAAACTAGGCCTATTAGGATTGACTAATGGTTCCTTAAAGTAAAAATGTTAGTTTGAGAAAGTGGACTACTGGACTTTGTTTCCTTATTATAGGAACAGGGTGCTAATGGTAATGAACAACTCCCCCCCTCCCCGACTGGGGGCCAGTCTACTGGACTCCCTCCGAATCCTAGGCCCAGCCCCACAGGGGTCCATTCAATAAGTGGGGCAAAAATCCCTTTTGCGTGTATGAATCACTCACCCCA